CGTAGCAAAAATTGATGACATGTTAAATTTTTAATTTTTAATTACTGATATACCCTCGTCTTCTTCCCCGGCTTCTCCTTCCTCCAACCTTTTTTTTCTTTTACCTCCAGGCAATCCCAAGAGCCTGGGTTCGCAAAACCGAAAAGGCAGCCATAACGAACAAACAAAATGAACCAACCAGTCATCAATCTTTGAGGGCAAATCAGTAATTAAAAGTAAAAAATTTAGCATGTCATCAATTTTTCTCACATGGATTTTCCACGTAATTTAATAAAAAAAACAAAATGAGTTTTCCGTTAATTAACCTGCCACATCAGCCAAAATTTAACGAAGGGACTAAAAAGGGGCCGGATTTGTAAACAGTAAGGACCAAAAAGGGGATTTTTTCGGTATAAAGACCAAAAAAAGGCTTTTTCCTATAGTAGAGGGACCAAAAAGGGTATTTAACCTTTTTTACTGTTGAAAATGTAATATTTACCTCATCTATTTTCCTCATAACTTGGCCCATCGACTTTAAAACCAAAGTCTCAACTTCAATGGTGAGGCGGTCTTCCCAAACAAACACCCATACTTCACCTTGTATTGGGTATGACAACCTTTTTCACCTTAGTGATAACCTTCTAGTCCTTCAACTTTGAAACTAGAGCCTCAACAAGCTCAACAATAAGACAGTCCACCTGAACGAATACTCATGCCTCCTCTAGTACCAGTGTGATGACCTTATTCATCTCAGCACTAGCCTTTTGGTCCTTCTCATCCAACTTAGTAATCACCTCGTTACGGGCAAAGTTGCAAAACCTTGTCAAGATTATCCTCTAGACAAATCTTCCACTCGCCAAAGCATTCATGGAGGTCAGGTGGGTTGCAATGAGAAAAGCAAAAAGAAGATGAGATGTTTGAAAAGAACAAAAGGATGCTAGGAGAAGGAAAGGGGTGATGGGATGGGATGGGATGGGATTGGGACGAATGAAATAAAAAGAAAGAAGCTAATATACATTTGGTAAGGCCTACTCATTAATAGTTGGTAAGAATAGAATATTAGAACCATGAATTTGTAATAGGCTATGGGGCAAATTGATTCCATCCAAGATTAATTACTTTGGTTGGCACCTCTTCCTTAATGGTCTCCCATCAAAATCAGGCCTTTTAAAAGGGGGCATCCAACTTGATAGGGCAAAGACTATTTGCTACATTTGTAGAAGGGAGCTTGAGGATGATAACCATTTGTTTGTTCAATGTTCAAAGATTTAGAGACTATGGATGACATGCTACAAATGGTGGGGGATTTCCCTCTCCCTCCCCAATACAATTTCTCTCCTATGTGAAGCTCACTATATATGGATCAAAAAGCTGGTCAAATCTAATGTTTGGTTTATGATTTTCTTAATGGTTACATGGTCCATATGTTACACAAGGAATTCTATTATACACAACTCACAACAATGGGATGAAGACAAAATTTTTGATTTAATTCAAAGGAGGACTTTTGCATGGATAAGGGGAGATCTACTAAGACTGTTTTCCCCTTTTTCCCCCTAATTTATGTGTTCAAGAAATTGCCAAGAGTTAGATTTGTCATTCATATTCTGTTTTTGGAATACCTTCATAGGTGTTCTTTTTATAATGCATACTTTAGCATTTTTATATAGCTCATCACGGTCTTTATCCACAAGCCCTATACTTGTGCCAATTTCTGTGAGAACTTTCTTCCACCCATGCTCCTTGGGATCAGCAGCAACTCCGAATGGAAGAACTTATTGAGCAAAAGTTGTTGGGGAGTCACTTCTCTTTATAGCTATGGGAACCTCTAGTTGTTAGCTCCAACCATTTGGGTGTTGTTGGCTTTGGCTTTGTGAGTGTTCTCAGCTCTACCTATTTTTAAGTGTTGTTGGCTCCGGCAGATATAGTGACCCCATTCTTGATCTATGCCTCAAAATGCTCATTTCTAGTAAATGCAATAAATAAATTAAATTAGAAAAATGATACATATACATAACATATGTTGGGCTTAGTCAAAAATCAATGAATTTTTTGGGTAAAAATAAACTTGATACACTTGAGACTTGAACCCAAGCTCCTTTTTATGATGAATAAGAGCTCCAACCACTAGAGCCACTTCAAATTCTTTTAGCCCAAAATGAATGAAACCCACTTTTTTTATAATCTCTCTTGTTTCCTTTACATGCATATCTTTCCAACAACACAACTCTTTGTTAGAGTACTTTCTCTCTAAAACAATTAAGAAAAACCTCTCAACCACCACAAAAACAACTAGCATGAGATATAAAGCAAACTTCTTTGCAACTTGGGCATCTCATGCCAAGTTGAAGTTAACCCGTGTTACAGCACCATTGTCAACGACACCTAAGTTTAAAATAAATAAATATATAATTTTTCATTAATTTCACAATAAAACTTTAAAAAGAAAATCAAAGGGCATGACGTTTCCACGTCCATTTGTCCTTCAGCCCTGGGGGCTCCTTTCCTCCAGCAATTTTCCCCTTTTTAATCCTCTAAACTTATTCTAAATTAACAAGTGAGCTCTTAAATTAAAAACAATAAAATAAGTTCTCTAACCCTTTGAATTATATAGATTAGTCCTCAGACCTCTTAAAAAATGTATATCAACTCTTATCATTAATGATTCATTACTTATGACCTCATGCTATCTAGTTTTTCCTTTATTTGTTCAGTAAAAATCCTATTAAAGTAACTCATATGGCGGCTCATTTATCTCTATTTAGTATTCCAAAGTTATGTGGACCATTTTAGTAAATTTTTCACATATTAAACAAATGAAACGTAAATTTTGTAATTTTATTTTTAAAAAAAATAAAAAATTTATTACTTAATTTTTTAAACTCAAAAAAGTTACATCATTAGCTAAAAAAAAAAAAAATTTATTAGAAAGTACCATACCACAAAAGAGTACAAATTCTACTTACAATATTAGCTAAAAAAAAAAAAAACAAATTTTATATCTTACTAACATTTTTTTTCCAGATCTGCAAGCTTGTCATCTACTTTCAGCTCCTTGGAGGTAGTTTTGCCTTCTCCATGAGAATCCTAATGGCATTTTGATTTATCTTCTGTCACTTAATTAGCTGAAGACTTTATGATTTAATTGTTAGATGTATTTAATATTTTAAAATAATTAAAATTTAAATTATATTAATATTTATTAAAAACTTCTTGTCTCTTTACTTTTAAATTGTACCCCATTTATACTTAACTCTTCAAATCAACTGATAACCTACCAGTTTAAGATGCATATCCCTCCTCCATAAACAGGCTTGAGTCCGCCTTTGATAACTTGTTAAAAAAAAAATTGTACCCCATTTTAAAAAAAAAATCTTCGGTAAACTTAATTTGACATATTTTTTTAAAAATTATTTTAATCAGTCTCCGAAGTAGTTTAAAACCTCACGGCTTCACTTTGTTGACCTGTCTCGCAATGATTTGGCCAGCGAAGGTATCCCTACTTTTCCCTTTTGCTTTCGTGGTGAGGCTGACCCAAGTATTAAAGTGGAGAGCACATGGCCCTGCGGCCCCGAAGGCTTGAATTAAAATATTTGAGTAATCACGTACACATTTCGCAGAGAGATATCGCTTAGTCGGTAAAAAAAAATTGATTTTTTATATTATTAATTAAAATTTAATTTTTTAAAAAATTAATAAAAAATAATTTTTTATATTTCAATCTTGTGATTCAATTATCATAAACCTACTTATAAAGTGTATTTTCAATTTAATAATTAAAGTTTGAATTTTTTATTTTCAATCTATAATCCTGTTTAAAATATAAAAAATAAATTTTCTATAAACTTTTTAATTTTACTATAAATAATTTGTTTAATTAAATTAAAAAATTAATTTTATGATATATATATAAATTAATATAAAAACATCATAACAACTTATAAAAAACGTGCACACCATCGCTTGACCTTTCCCGTGTGAACTTTGAGTCGGATCCATCCATGATCCACCCATGTTCACACACCCTAGTAATAGTCGATGTATATCCAAAGTTATCTTTTTTTTATTCAGATTCATTATTTAAATATAGTCATGTTTGGAGGACTGCTTTTTGATTTATTTTATGTTTTAATTCTTGGCCAATACTTTTCCCCAAAATTAACAAATTTTAGGATGAGGAATGAAAATTTAACTCTTAAGACAATAAAAGATGCACCAACAAATTGAATTAGAAAATTAAAACTCATAAATTATCAAACCATGAGAAGTTAAGGAATATAATTTGTGGTGAAT